GTGGAAAAAAATTTCTCAACACCTCACAACACAAGGATAATCGCTCAGGATAATCTTGTAAGACATCTGACGATTGGATCTTTGTTGATTTTGTTTCGAAGTAGCGGGGGACACTCATCAGAGACCTCGCACCACCCTATGATTGCCCTACATAATCTTTGAGAGGCACTGGCTAATCAAACCTTTGCTGAATCACTCTTAGCACATCAGACAGTGCAGGATAATCACTCGGGATAATCTTTTATCTCCATCCGATAATTGAACTTTTTTCAGATTTTAATCAGAACGGTGGAAAATGAATCTGAATGCAGCCCCCCCACCCCAGAGGACAATCTTTGAGTGATATCCAGTAATTGGATATTTGCTGATTTTATTCTGATCACGCACCACACCATAGGATGATCACTCAGGTTATTCCTTGAGATCGTTCTCAATCAGACCTTTTGCTGACTTTGATCACAAGGCCGAGCAAATGCTCCATTCACAGAGTCCCTTATTGTCTATGTGCTTAGAAGCTCGACTCCAGTGACGTTTGGGAGGGGTCTATTCCACCACTTGCAAGCATGCATGCCCCCCCCACCTCCTACCCCCCAAAAAAAAACAAAACTGCACTCTACCGACCCCACCCTGCCTCTTCGGAGCCATTTTCACACTTTTTCTGCACTGTGTTGCTATCGTGTGAGAAAGACAACAATATGCAGAGCATGTCTAGGTCAGGGTACAATTCAAGACAGCAATGTGAAGCAGTGAGCGGCAGTGGAAAATCCTGGGCTACTTTGCACCCTAAACCCAACATACTCATGATGATGATGATGATGATGATGGAGGAGGAAGGGGCCTGCACTGTAACAGAGTCCAGCGGCAGCACACAGCTGCTTTGTGTTATTTACTCACGTGGCCACCACCTTGCCTTCTGTTGTGCCCTCCACGGTGGGCGTACATGTGCTTGTTTGGAGTTCTGCATGCTCGGGAGGGACAGATTCGTCGTGCTGCTTTTGGTTCGTTTGTATGAACGCAAGAGGGAGAATTTGCATTGACTCAGAAAAAAAAAAGGCTCTCAAGTCTGGGCTTGGTCCTGGTTTGCTGTCTGGGCATATCCAGTCCTGTTAACTCTCCTCCAGATGACAACCCCACCACACCCACTCGAGCCCCCGCCCACCATCCCCTCCTTGCTTTTAACTCTGCCCGTTACCCTCCTTCCTTCCCTCGCACTTTCCATGAGCGGTCCCACCCACCAACCCCCAGCCTCATCGACGACACTTTCATTATATAATACTTGATCATACACATTCACACTCAGAGAGAGTGCGCGAGAGAGAGCGAGAGAGAGGTTTGGCTTTTCGTGTTCTGGAGACGTGCCGGCGCTAATTTAATGCATGTGTAGCCGAGCTGTTTTCTTCTAATGGTGGAAAGTTGCAAGTGAGGTTACAGTCACTGGTTTGATCCTTAGATTTATACCATCGTACCATACACAGGCCGAGTGGAATATCTGAGTTTGTACAATCTGGATGTTTGCAAAAATACACCTAATGGCATACAGTGATGTGGCCTAATGCAAGTGAAATGGGCAATTGCATACAAACAGCATCCAAAATACTGGACTTGCAGAAGTGTTAAAAATAAATAAATAAAGTAGCTAACATGATATAGCGTTTAAACATCCGAAATGTTCATAACGGGAATATTCCTAAGTAGTATATAACAGTGTGCTTGTTGCAAAATGGAGCATTTTTGTTTTTGCTTTTTTTTTTGTGTGTGTGTCATTTGGTACTAAATTCTAGTGGACTCATGTTCTTATTGCAGTCGGCCTCACTCACTGATCGCTGTAATCCGGCCTCCCCTGCTGCTGGTTTGCCTTTCAGCTGGACCATAATCCTCTGCTGCTGCTACCATGGAACCCCGCTGCGATATTAATTCCACACGCTCAAGCAGTTTTGGTAGCACTGACTGGTTTCGGGTATTTCCCTAAAAGCTGTGTTGTTTCCCCTGCCGACATACTTGCTGCAAAGTGTAAGAATGAAACGCCTCTGTTAGTTACATCACATGGGGCTTTCTTTTTTTATTAGCCTGGCCCAGGCGCGAAAGAGCGATCTGCGGGTTGCCAACATGCCGCTAACGCATAGCTCGCGGTTGCTCTCTGACGCAGGAATATGCCATTAGAGTCCACCTTTTCCACCATAAAGCTGTCAGGCTATGATGTCACACGGTTGTGGCATGGCGGCAAGATCGCAATAAGATGGGGTGGGGGAGAGGCCGATGGTTGAGGGAGGTGGGAACCAAGCTTCTTGGATTTGAGTGGGAGCTAAAATTTAATTTTTCAAGATCAATCGTATTGTCACCGATTTTCCACACCTGCTTAAAAGATGCAAAGTGTTGTCAGACAGTTCTTGGAATATGCGACATGGTACGCGTAGAAAAATAGTACTGAACCATAATGTACTTTAGAAAAAGCATACAGTAATAACTTCATGAAACAGAATGTTCAGAATTGAACAGTGCGTGCTTCATGACCTGAAATTTGTAATTCCAAAAGACATTACGATGACTTCTGGTGTGTAGAACTTGGCCACCAGGGGGCAGTGCAATAGACATTTATCAGAAACGAAGAAGACCCATTTACAGGTATGCCATTTTGCATTGTGTGTTAGCTTGAAACTAGCGGCGTTTCGTAAGTTATTGTGGTTTGATTAAACAAACAAGTGTAATTCCCATTTTTTTTTTTTTAATTTCACTTTCAACTGGGAATGACGAAAGAAACGACTTGAAGCAATAAAGGCTTTGTTTCTGAAGAACTGTATCATATGGAATCATGGAACTACCAATGTGGAGTAAACATTTTGATTAGGCTATGTTGTTCAAATGTACTGCGAAATGGGGAAAGTCAATACCCTTGTGGCATTATGGGAAAAATGCTCTGTTTTTGGAATTGAGCCTCGGTTTTACCAATATGTTAGAACGACTTTACCGGTTATTTCGAACGACCGTGTCAATATGCTTGAACCACTTTGCAGTCCATTCGAAGGACTGTACAGTACGTTCCAATGACTGTAAAAACTCGTTCCAACTTGTTCAAAACGTTTTACTCGACATTGGCAGTTCCACGCTTCCATAGTATCAATCTCTGTTGGTTGTTAGGAAGTTCTCTGCCACCACGTAGCGCCCATATTAAAACATTTCGATCCCAAATCAAGACAAAAATCGATCGACCACAGCTTTTTTTTTTCTTAAATAACTTTTAAAAAGTCACATCACTCCAAAGTTGAGGTACCAATGTATTTGTATAATGAACCCCGAGACAAATCTTCAACACTTATTATTACTATTATTATTATCCAACATCAGTTATGGCTTGGTTGAGGAAAAACTATTCTTTGGGATGCCAGACTCCTCAAGAGTTTGTGAATCAAAGTTTAAGGTTAAACGTGCTAAATTGAATGCAAGGAAGTATGTTTTCAGAAATAGGGTAGCGCCATTTTGGACTAATCTTTGCAGCAACATCTGTAACTCTTCCTCACTGGCAATTTTTCCAAGCTGTGTAGGTCACTTGTCCTTTGCTTAAAAGCCAAAAAGGAAAATGCGGACGTCAAACGGCTCATTCCCAGGACCGCCAGCCGTAGCCGGATCGGTTCGACGTGGAGTCTCGGAGTTGTGCAATGATCGATGGCTCCACATCTGGGCCCAGTCATTTCTCTCAAACGGATATCACGGCTGACCCGCGGCTGAACTGCACATCAGCTGATTGGGTAAACACTGCGGCGCTCAGGCTTAGGAGCACAGGTGGTTAGAGTTGGGAGAGTGGTTATCATAAACCAAAGCCAGCAAGCATGAAGAGCTCTTTTTTTCCCCCCATTTTCTATGTAAACAAACGAACTGATCTGTACTGTCCTACACTTTGCAGTACAGTGAACCCCGTTTATTGCGGGGCATATCCTGACTGAAACTGACTTTAACCCTTTCATGCACCCTGACAACATGATCAGCTGTCCACTGTAGTAACAACTGTCCCTGAAAGGGTTAAAAAGACCCACAATGATATTTTGGCAAGACCTCAATGAGTCAATTAATGATGCCCCCGCCCCAAAGTGAGTTTTGAGATTTGTGAAAAAAGTACCGGTATATTGTTCAGCAAAAATATGAAGACGTCTCAAATGTACGACAATCCAAAATGAAGCCCCCTAGTGTGCCTCCACCTCTGCTGCGTCCGACCGCTTTTTAATGGTCCCTTTGCCGCGCAAGGCTCGTTAGGCCCGGCTTGGCAGTGTCCAGCTCTTTCCGCTGGCATCCTCAGTGTGGCACAATGGACCCACGGGAGGCGACCAACAGGGGGGAGGAGGTTTCATCTCAAAGCATGTCCCGATGTGAGCACAACGAACCTCGAGGATGGATCGCTTAATTAGAGCAAAACGTCGCTTTTACGACGGGGGCCTCACTTGTGTCCCGTTCGTTTCTGTTGAAATAATGCCACAATGCTTGATCACCTGCGACTGAGCACACCTTTTGTCTAAAGTCAGCTGGGATAGGCTCCAGCTCAGTCGTGACTGTAATGAGGACAAACGCTAGAGAAAATGAATGGGTGGAATAAAGGCCTCGCCCTTAATAAATATCGAAATCTGCTCCAATCATCAATGGTATAGTCTGTTCCCATAGAATGACTTCGGGACAAGACACTGAACTTTTGCCTATACATTAATGGTGTGAAACTCATTTTCCTGTCTCGTGTTTCTTTGTTCTCAACACACTGACATCACATGACTGGTGTATAGCCACCAGTTTTCGTAGTGCCCCCTAGTGTTGAGATACTAGGAGACACCACATAACTGGAATGTCTTGTATTAGAGAGAACTTTGAAGTAAAGTTTATGGCAAAACTGTTCAGAAAAAAAATCATGCAGCAGGTTGTTAAAACTGAAGTATTTACGGGTTATTTTAAAAAACATTATTTGAGGGCAGCTTATTCATGCAGTAGGTTGTTAAAACTTAAGTATTTACAGGTTATTTTAAAAAACATTATTTGAGGGCAGCTTATGCCATGTATCAGAAAACTTGTGTTTTGAATATTGTATTGATCGTCTGTCAGTGAGTACTTAATTTTATTGTAGTTGATCTGAAAAGGGTACTATTGGGGCAGCCTTTGTGAAAAACTGAGAAAATTGCAGTTTTGCTCCAGATTTTCTGGCAAAATGAAAGAAGCCACCCATTTGGCCAAATTATATTTTTTTATTTCACGCTTGATTTGCTTTGGTGGGCAAAAATAATTGGTGTGAAGGACTGGATGTGGTCCCGAGGACCTTGAGTTTGGGACCTATGCCCAACGTAGTTTTGATCATATTGACCCTATTTTTTTTTCCTGATGGCAGGAACCGGTGAAGGGGGACTCTGCATGGGGGAGTCCGACCGGGCTCGCGGGCGAGCCGCCAGAGAGTTTCGGAAAATAGGTCAGTGCCCCCATTTGAACCCCTCGCTCGCGCATTCTTCCGCCGTTGCGACGTGGACGCACTGACACGATGACAATGACAACACACGACATGCGTGCGTGGGCAGGGAATCGACTCGCTCGGGCTTCTTACCTTCAAAGCGCCTCCAAACTCGGCCAAAGCAAAGTCCCGCCTGCTGCTCAGAGCCGAACCAGGCGACTCTTCGTCAATGTAGTCCTCCCCTCTTCTTTCAATGAAAGGCAAATATGCAGCGAAGTGTCATGAATGTTAGGTGTCCGGAGAGGCGGTCCCTTCCCACAACATTCTCGCCTTTTGTTACTCCCAAGCGCATCCAGCAAGAATTAAAGACAAGACCGGTCCAAGTTGACAGCCCTCCGTTTTGTTGCTCGTGCTCGCGCGAGAGCGATTGTCAACAGTCAAAATGTGCGGGCAAGCAAAAGCAAACCCGAAAGGTGGATCTCCTGGTGGTCGTCGAAGCGCATCGCTCGATGGCAACGCTGGTCAAGTCGGAGGAGACACACGCACACACGCGCACACGGAGCGAGGGCTGCTGGCTGCTGGTGGTCGAAATTGGTGGCTGGCAAGGCGGTTTGTGCCGCTTCTTCTTCGTCGTCTTCGCGGCAGGGAAGGGTATCCGTGTCCGGCGGCTCGTCTTCCCCCGCCGCCGCCGTCTGCCCGTCTTGCCCGCCAGCAGCCCAGCCCCGTCAGGAGGAGCAGCCCAGCGGAGTCCAAAAAGCTTCTGCCAGCTCACGGCGTGCTTACGGCTCCGCCTCCCTCTCCGGCTCTCGACGTGTGCCTGTGTCTGCGCACTCTTGTAACGTAGCGGAACGGAATATTTTACTCGACTATCGCCTTCGAGTAAAGTATCCAAGGCACTTTGTAGTCTTTCCATGAAACAGCATACAAATTCTTGTATGTAAAAAAAGATCATTTCTTTTCAAATACTTGTACTTTTACTCAAGAATCGCTTTCAGGTCATTTATGTGCAACAATTACCACACAAGCAGTCTTGTACAAGTACTGTGCCTGAGTAAAGTTTTCACACATTTATACTTTAGTATTTATATTTAAGAATGTTTTTTAAAAAAGTTATTTTCCGTGAGTTAAGATAATTTTACTTTTTTAGTATCAGATTCCCTTACTGGGGTGGGAGCACAAAAAAATAGATCAGCAAAGATTTGTTTAAATAACTGACATGCAGTATAAAAATGAATACATGAATAAGAAACACCAAGTAATTCTGAAAGCAAACTTTACATGCATTTTAAAAGCAACTAAAAAACAAACCTGACATTTTTAGCCAGTCCCCACAAAACACAAATGACCACTCAATGAGACGTTCATTTTTTTAAAACGCATTACAAGATTAAACAAATTTATTTTCAAACCAATTTTGTCAACTTGTTTTGGCTAGCTCCGTTCACTTCCATTATAATTTGGTTGACATATTATTTTATTAAGTGGTATGCAGGCTCCCTCTCGTGGTATGCAAAAAAAATCACTGCCTACATACAGTTCACTTGTATTTAACTTTTTATTAGTTACATTGAGTCTTTAAGAACTGTTGGTTTTCATATTATTTCAGTCCAGTTTTCAGTGGACTTCCATGTACAATATATTTTGAGTCCGTGTTTAAGTGCAAGTTACATTTTCCGTTTTTTAAGCAGTGTTAATGTTCAAACTGCGTATTGATGGCTGACACTTAGGATGTTTTTTTTTTTTTTTAATCAAAAGACTATGATTTTGTTTTTGTAAGATTTGGACTTTCTTCTATTGGAAAGCATGACTTTATACTTGAAAATAACCTTTTTTTTAGCTTGGCAGTCGTGAATGCAAAGTCATTTTGAGTTACAAATTATGTAAAAAAAAAAAACACCCCAAATATTTCCTTGAAATGGTCCCCCCACAATTATAAGTTTGTTCTCAAAAAAAAGGACCTCCCCCACAAAAAATCCACCAATGTACAACCTCTCGAGGGTGTAGGGTTGGAAATGTATGTAACACCAAAATGAATGTTAAAATTTGATTTTTCAATTAATTTAAAATAATTAATTATTTTAATTTTATTATTATTTTTGGACCGAGTACCGATACCAAGTATCATGTCAGGTACCACGATACTCAAAGCAGCCAACATCTGACGTTGAGTAAGTCCTCCTTGGCACTCGTCGGCACTACACAGTGGCAGTTTGACAAATTGTCGATTCACCATCTGCGTCAGAAAGAAATGTCTCGGTTCACAGTTTTCTGTCCTCGTGTTAGATTACGTTTTATATGTCAAAATTACAAGAGATATCGACGCATACTCAAAGTGTGAATACTTGTACTAGTATCGGTGATTTAAACATGGGGTATTGAACATCTCATGTCACATATTTGACATCATTTGGACTCAGACCAATACTGCTTTAAACTATTTGTTGTCGCTATTGGGCGACAGCAATAAAACATTGAACCTCTCTGCCGCAAAATGAGCAACATTTGATTTAGCCCACCTTAGTTGTCAGTGGCTCAAATAGTCCTTTTGTTTACATGCAGTCCCTCATCTCTGCGGAAGGAGGCTTTCTTTCTCTTTCAGTAGTGCAGCGTGACTCTGACCAGCTGTTTCCCGCCTTGAAAGCGATCAGCTGCGCGCACACACACACGCACACACACACACACACGCACACACGCACGCACACACACACACACACCCGCACACACACACACGCGCGCGCGCGCGCGCACGCGGAAAGGGGAGGGGATGAGGAAGAGCGAGGGAGCGAGCCACACACAACGAGGGAACCCCATCAGCTGGAAGTCGAGTAACATTACAACTACATCTCCCAACGCGCGAGTTCATCTTTTTTTAACCTCCTTTGGATCGGATTCAGAAACGCCCAACTTCATCCTTTTTTAAATTTTTATCAGATAATATTGAATTTTATTTATTAGACATATATTTGTTTATTTTTGAGAGTGTAGAAAGGGGACTAGGAGGTGGTGGTTGGGAGGATCAAAACTGGAGAGCCGCGAGCATGGAGTATTTCATGGTGCCCGCTCAGAAGGTGCCCTCTTTGCAACACTTCAGGAAAACGGAGAAAGAAGTCATCGGTGGGTTGTGTAGGTGTGTATCCAGCATGTGTTATTGTCTATTTGGAACCACAACACGCAGACGCGCGCGAGCGGATGAGGCAACATGCTTCTGTTGTTGTGCGTGCACGATCCATCTGCGAGAACTAATTGATGTGGAAATGACCCCCCGGAACGCGTATGGGTTGTCACGCGGAAGGCTATTAGCGTTTTGGGGTCATGTTTGTCCCCATTCCAATGAGAAATGTGTCCCTTTAGTGGCTAACAAACACAAACCACGTGGTTGCTCAGCAGCACACCACGCTGCTGCTCACTCGCTCAGTTTATCCTCAAATTACCCCTCACCGACGTCGTAACGGTGGCCGTGTTCGGTGAGGTTCAGCCCGGCCGTGAGTGGCTGCTTTGACCGGGGGTGCTGGAGCTGGTTTGGTTGGCTAAGTTGGAGTAGGGAAGCGCGGCCATGCTGCTTCTTGTGCTGCTGTTTGGTTGGATACTAGTGCTGTAAGCAACAAGGGGCTCTGAAGTCTGCCTTTCCCGTCTCTGACGTCGACTTTGCGATGTTTAAAATCGCAATGTTTCGGGGGCGGGGAGTTTTTTGTTTTGTTTTAAGGAAAGCAGCGGCGTGACTTCGCCTTCACTGTGTCGTGTTCACCGCCTGCCATGCTGCCTGCCTGCCTGCCGCATTGTTGTAATGGCGGGGGACGCGGAAAAAGTCTGTCCGGGGCACGCTAAAGGGAGCGGGGGAGCTGTAAAGACCACTCTGGCGAATGTTTCAATTTGTAACCCCTCTTTACGAAACCACCATTCGACAAGCACGTCACGGAACTGACGCATTTTAGCGAAGAAAGAGGGAATAAATGGTGTTTATTAATAAGGGGGTGTGTGTACGTCCGCAAAGCTGCTCGACAAGGGAGGCGGAGGGATCTGGTTTTGCTGATTCGATCCTCGCGTGGGGCATCATGGGAAACGTAGTCCTTGTATGTTTTTTTTAAACTTTCTATTCTACGTCGATCCTTTAAAAACGTTTAGGTTTTTCAGACACGCGTTTTTTTTTGTTCACGGGATATAAAATAATGATCTTCATCGGTAGCTGAGAAGATGTTCATTGTTTGTTTTTGCTGACGAGACCACGTGACACGACCATATGCCTGGGAGTTTCAAAACATGGACATACTGGTCACTTTTTCGGTACACCTGCGTAGTCAAATGCAGCGATACAGGATAGGAAAATGTAACCGTTTACAATAGTCTTCTAAATGTAGATTTTAGTCATAAGGGAGGTACTTTGGATGTACACCAAAATAAACTTGTACATATTAGACACATCTCAGTGTGATGTGCAATTCTGTACCATTAATTACCACTTATTTTAATATGCATGTCTTGGCATATTGGAATGCAATAAATGTGCGTTGTTGTGGCTGGAGAGTGTTCTAATAATATTCAGATTATGAATTATCCTCAATTGTAATTCAACCCAAACGTACGGCATAAATCAAAATTTCCCCGCTCTGTTGTCCACAACTTACGTATAATACCACAGCAAAACTAATAGTATCCTGAGAATCTGCTCCCAATTAAAATGCCTCATATTTGATGTTTCTTTCAATACTGAAACTCTTGATCCGCTTGGCCGTCATCGCTGGGCTCTGGATGCTTGTGTTGGACGTGCCGCCACCGTTGTAACTTGTTGTGTGTGCGTGCAATTGTGCCCGCAGTTAATGCTGGGACGGCTGAGACACTGCAGATAACCGCTTGACCGGAACCAGATGTCGAAATACAGAGCTTGTTACCGGGTATAATATAGAGTACGTTTGCTTAGATTTTCCCTTTGAACATAATAACATCATATGGACAGCATTCACATTATTATTGTTTGTTTGGGAAAAGTCTTGTTTTAGTCTCGAATGTTGCATCCACTTAAAGGAGGGGTGCATCATCCATGGGAAATTGAATATTAAAGACATTGTATGCATACATTCTGATGATTTTTTTCCCCCACTTTTGCTCCCGATCCGTCCTCAGCCTGGCCAACATTCCTCTGACCCCGGAAACTGCGCGCGACCAGGAGAGGCGAATCCGCCGCGAGATCGCCAACAGCAACGAGCGGCGGCGCATGCAGAGCATCAACGCCGGCTTCCAGTCGCTGAAGACCCTCATCCCACACAGCGACGGCGAGAAGCTCAGCAAGGTGTCCGGATGGCTCCTGAATGATCCCGTGTTCGGTTTGCGTGGCTTCAGGTCCAATGTTCTCTTCTTAGGCCGCAATCTTGCAGCAGACGGCAGAGTACATTTTCACGTTGGAGCAGGAGAAGACGCGACTACTGCAGCAGAACAGCCAACTCAAGCGAATCATACAGGTAAAGCGACACACCACTCTCCAACTTTTGGGGTCTGGTGGTGGGGTTTGGCGTTATTAAAAATCTCACAATTTGATTCAATTTTGACACGCCAGATTGCAATTCAATTCTTCAGGTTACGATTCGGTTTAATTAAAATGATTTGATATAGGTTCAGTCAGAAGCAAAAATACACAAATAGGCGAATGTTTTGACAATTCTGAAGCGTTTAAGCCTGCTATGCAAACATTTGAAGGGTTCTACATTAACGGTGGCCTGAGGCCACTGCATGATCGTGTCGGACCACTCGAAGGTGACTGATGCTGGCCCAACTGCGCCAGTACAAAATGTAATTGCTAAACACGATTAAATCAACACATGATTGCTTTTGTGATATTTAGTATTCAATAGTTTTGTCCACTGAAATCGATCAGTCATCATTGCTCCTTTTACACCGCTGTGCACATTTTTTGAGCCTGACTTTAAATCTTTCCATAAGGAATGGCTTTCACATGATTTCAAACCTCATAAAAATAAAATGTCGTGTGAAATATTCAGTTACATTTTCCATTGCAGAAAAATCACCTAAAAAAAAATCAACAAACACGCTACCAAAGTAACTTCACAGAAGTCATATTCCCTTAAAGATTTCCGTAGTATAAATAATCAATGAAAATTATGATTATCGTCTAATTATCATATACTGTACTTTTTTTTTTGCAATAAAACATTTCAAAATAAAAATGTGTAAATAACCTAATTGTGTATGGCATACAAAACCCATGATGAAAGCTCTGTATTGACAGTACAATACTATACAATCCATCTTTTTTTATGTAGTGCTTTCACAACAGCTGCAGCTGTAAGAAAGCACATTTATGAACAACATTAACCTAAAAATAACAATCACAGAACAGAACACATACCAAATACCCTGTTTACACTCACTTGGACAATAATTGAACAAACAACTAACGGTTGACTGATTTCAAGACTAGTAATCCACTAATTTGATCTGTTGTGTACAAGTAATAATACGATCATTAAACATTTATTCGGTTTCATTGTCGTAATGGCCCTCCGAGGGCAGACAACTCCAAAGTGGCCCGCGGCAAAAATGAGTTAGACACACCTGATTTAGAGTGTTCCATTAACCTGCCACGCATGTTTTTGGAATGTGGGAGGAAATCAGAGTACCCGGGGAAAACCCACACAGGCACAGGGGGAACATGCAAACTCCACACAGGATGGCCGGAAATGGAATCGAATCATCCACCTCTGCACTGTAAGGCCGACGCGCTAACCAGTCGACCCCCGGGTCGCTCCAAAATATATTATGTAAAATATATTTTACAATCGAATATTGTTATTATATGTTAATATTATATTTAAATGATTATTATATATAGTGTGTGCCATCCTCTTAAAGCCAGGCTATCCACACCCCTGGTCGAAGATCCTTGCATATGAAGGTGGTGAATGAGTTCTCATATTACTGCAGTTTACCAGGCACTGACAGGCTTCCTCCTGCCGTCTGGATGCATGACACTGCCCCCTGGTGGCAAATGCGTCCCCACCCCAACCCCCAAAGTCGTCATTATCATGGCCCGCCATTTCCAGTTTAAAAACCGCTGCAGTCAAGTGTTCGCCTCTCAGCTGACTAGTACGTCTCTCGGTAGGAGTTGAGCGGCTCTTCCCCAAAGAGGAGGCGCGTGGAGGAGAAGGATGAAGGCATCGGCTCGCCGGATATCCTGGAGGAGGAGAAGACGGAGGACCTACGGCGGGAGATGATTGAATTGAGGCAGCAGCTGGAGAAGGAACGCTCCGTCAGGATGATCCTGGAAGAGCAGGTGACGCTCTCGCACACACACTGCTCACTCTCACTGTCATTCACTCACCCACTCTAACACTCATTCAATTTACACTCTTTCACTCCCTTAGTGTCTCCACTCACTCACTCACTCACAAACAAAATCACTCTTGCTCTCAACAACTCTCGCACAAACTCAATGTGTTGATTATGGTGGTGTTTGTGTGGGTGCGCGCATGCATACCAGATGCGCTCACTGGACGCAGAGTTGTACCCGGAGAAACTGAAGGCTCTGAGCCAGCAGAAACTTGTGTGTGTGCCCCAACACAAGCAGCTGGAGAGGGACCTTACACCTGCCCACAGCCCACAGGTACACACACACACACACACACACACACACACACACGCACACACGCACACACACGCACACACACGCGCGCGCGAGATCCATGGCAACAGATGCATCCCCACAAAAATGTGTCGCTCTTGATTTGTGGAATAACCGACACAGTTTGTGTAATTTTCACTGTGTGCTCTGCCATGTGCAAGTCAGTCAATTTAAATGGGACCAATTGGATTCTTTCTTTTATGGTCCTGGGCACAGACAACACCTGTTTAAATGAGGTCTTAATGTACACAAAATGACTCAAAATTGTGGAATGATCACGTCAGTCGTTGACTTGTTTCCATCGGAGCTGCTGTGTCATATCGTAGACTAAAAATGTGCATCTGTTGATGTGGCGTCTTCTCTACTAGGTGTCCGCCCCGGCCACCCCTCCCGCGCCCACGCATCACGCAACGGTCATCGTCCCCGCACCCGTCCCTCAGCCGCCACCACAGTCTCATCATGTCACCGTAGTAACCATGGGTCCGGCGTCCGTCATCAACACAGCCTCCACGTCAAGACAGAACCTGGACACCATCGTCCAGGTAAGACAGGGGGGCAATGTCAACAATGTTCTGAAAAATAAAACTTAAATGTTGAAAATGTAGGCAAAAGAAAATACACGTCTGTTTTTCAAATGTATGGAGTCAAAGTAAAAAGTCTTCATAAAAATAAATACGTAGGTACAGACCACTTAAAAAGCCTGGTTTTGCACTTTATAAAATGGCTGGATGGCTTACAGTTGTGCCTCAACTTGCACTGAGCAGTACTTCATAAAGACCGACATGTATCACATCATCAAATCAAATGTTAAGAATTAAACACAAAGTGCCTTACGATTTCATGCTTCAGTGTGCATTGACAGTGTGCTCCTTCTGGTGTGCACGCCTCGCCCAACAGGGGTCAGTACAATACAGACATAAAGTCACAAATTCAAGAGTTACACAGCTGAGTAAGATGCAGTCACATTGGATTAAGAATGTACGCCATGTGAGTATTGTATTATTGTCTCTCTATTGTGTTGCTCCACCATTTGTGTTCAAATGCCCTTCTATGGCCTTTTGCACTGTGCGGTAGCATCAAGCTATCAGACTTTCATAAGTTCTGCAATTTTGTTTAGTGTGTAATGTTTAATTTACTTTGTTTCATGTTCGAATATAAACACGGAATGACAAACTATAAGTAAGTAGCTGCTTCTTTTCAAGTCCAGGCAAGTGACTGCTTGTCAAGTCAGTCCATTAAGATCACACTTGATCATTTTGTGATGGTCCGGAATAGTCACTCACTGTAGTCGGACACCAGAGTGCACTGTGGCAACCCTCCTCACTCTGTCTCCCCCCCGCCCACCCTCCTCGCCATCTCACCACAGGCGATCCAGCACATCGAGGGCACCCAAGGGAAGGTTGGCGGGTGCGAGGAGGAGCAGCGGCGGGCAGTCATCGTCAGCTCGGGCCGCGTCCTCTCCGACAGCGACGAGCCGGACCACTGCTCACTGCCATAAGTTGCTGTCCCACACGCACACATATTGACATGCGCTTGCATACATCCCCCAAAACAACAACAGTGGACTTTCGACAGGGTCGGTGGTCGCATTGAAGCACTCTTTTTGTACACATTTACCTACTTACAGTATAGTACCGTGATAGGCAGTTTCGCCATGCTTATATATACTTTGGACAACCCCCCCTTGCTCATATCTGGCTCACTTATAGAAAGGCCATTCGAGCAGCTGCTTGACTTGACTGACTGTACTTTCGTAGTGGATGTTACTCATTCAAGCTGCACGTCTTTTTGTTTTTCTTTCCGCTCGCCATGAAAACCAAATTCGCCACATCCTCCAGGCGAGGGCCCGACTGATATGGATTTTTGGAGGCCGATATTTGGCTGAATTAAATTCAGATAACAGTTTAATCGGTTATTTATATATATATATATATATATATATATATATATATACACACACACACACACACACACAACTTCTTTCTCCCTTCATGCTTATTACCATAAAGATATGAATTGCAGGCAGAACATTTGACTGTTTAACAAAACTTTTATTTTCTTTTTTTTTTTTAAACAGGGAAAAATTGCCAGAATGTGTTTTCTTTTGTTTAGTTTTTTTCCGACTTAGAAAGGGTCAATGTCAGCCGATTAAATCAGCCGGCCAGTGAATCGGTCGGGCCTTATGTGTGACATCACGGCCACCTTTTTCAGAGCCGTTTTCAAGTAATTGTATGTGGGTAGAGCGAATGCACTTAGCGGTTTGTCTTTCTGTCTGCATGTTGCCATTCTTACTGGGCTGGTTTCCCGGTACACCCCAATTTTTCGTTACCTTTTTTCCATATGAAATTTTTTTTTACATGCATAGCCTGACAAAACAACACTTTCACCTTTCCCTTTTTCCATCTTATAAGGGAAAAGCATTGAATTCACCTCGATGTGCTCATGGCCGTGCGGCCGACTCTGGAAGTCTCTTACGGCACACCGAACCACACTCGTAAATGCTCAATATATTTTGCCTTCCTGATATGAGCAGGGGTCACCTACACCAAAACAGTCAGTTGAATCTTACCGTTTCTGTGGTTATTTTTGTACAAATCGCTCCTTAATCTGAATTTGGAGATCATATTTTAAAAAATATACGTCTAATTAATCCAATCCAGACACCCCAAAATATTAACAAAAATATATATGCAATAACAATAGCTTTAGATACAAAAGCAATAGGCCTGTCACTATCAAATCTTTTTAGAATCTATTTAAGAATTAGCACTCAGTTAAAAAAACGGGTTGGTGACTCCATAGAGAGCATTTATTCCAGCCTCCCATCCAACTAAAAAAAAAAAAAAAAACTTAAATGAAAAGCCATTATGCATAAATGTGCACAATATTAATTGTTGAGAATTAAGACTGAAATGGATTCCGAATACGAAAATATCTGAACAATGTTCAAAGGACATGAGGACAAGTGCAGCGAAACCTCCAAAATTGAATCGATTTCGCAGGACTTCGGTTCAAATGCTTTTTCTTTGGCTTTTTGAGTGGTGGGGGGCGTATCAGACATTTATGGCAAAAGAAGAGAGCAATCATAATTCCCATAGAAGCAAAAATGGCGTCAATCAATCAAACATCACTTGCGCGGGGAAGTCTGCCAACATAAGTTCAGTGGAACAGAGTTCCCACGGGTCCTTAAAGTTCATAAAAATCCATAAAAAAGAAGTTGTAAAATTATGTTCTTAATTGTCCTTAATTTTCAGGGAACGCTTCGAAAATAAATAAAAATCCTTAATTTATTTTTATTCAAAAATAAATTGTAGTTTTATATTTTCTAAATTTAATTTTTTTTAGTGTACTTTATTTGAGAATGAATTCAAGTTCTGTAATACAGGTAGGAAAATGAAAATTTGACCGACAGTATGTCAAATAAAGGGTTAGCTGATTGCCCCTAAAAATAGAGATGTGCCCTTCCTTTGGCAGCAATGATTTGAACACCAGCTCAGTGATATGAGGCTTTCTGTTCAGCCCGCATATTGCTGAGCGGGCATTAAATCCACTGTGAATCCCCTGCTGAATGGAGAAAAAATCCTTAAAAATGGCTAAATTAGCCCTCAAAATTCCTTAAAAGGTCCATAAATGAAAAGCAAGTGGAAGAGTGGGAACCCTGTGGAACCCCCAATTTGCAGGCAAGGGCATGCGGACCGGGCCATTGAAATACATTGCGATTAATTGATTCATAATTATTTTTTTTAACCCAAAACAATTTTCCAATCACTCTCATAAACCTCCAAAATACGGCGATATGAAAGCGCACAACTACACAACAGTCATGTTTGGGAGAGTTTTCCCACTGAATATGTGAACATACCTTCCACTGGAAAAAAAAAAAAGAGGCTGGGGTCCACTGCTCTTAATCCTTGAGGGGAAATGGCTTGTCGCACATTGACACAAAATGGAGGTTACGCTGCACGAGCCGCTGTCCCCAATGTGACCACATGGCCATTTTGTATTATTCACATTGTAGCAAAAAAAAAAAAAAAAAATCATTCACAATTTTCTGCACACCGATGTATTTTGCCACTCGAAAAACATTCCATGAGGGGTTGAACACCCTTATCATTCCCAGTTGATGTCGAAACTTTATTGTTCTTAGCTGTACTCTCACCACATTCCGCCCTGGACAAATGGCGATTTTATCCTGCTGGACAGATAAATTCATCTTTTCATTGTTGACATCACAGCCCTTTAATAGAAATAAAAACAAAAAAAACATTGGGTGAATTTTAATCCTTTTATCCAAGATGTATAATTCTTTAGGGCGGCATAGTGCAGGGTTCGATTTCGGGGTACGGCCTTCCTGTGTGGAGTTTGCCTGTTCTCCCCATGACTGCGTGGGTTTTCTCCGGGTTACAAAATGGACGGATGGATATAACGCTTTCAGTCAAATGGTTGTTGTTGATAGGCTCTTCTTGTTATGTTTTTTTCAGCACTTATGTGTCCAATACTGGAGCCTAACTCTCCATATATAGCCCATCAATTTTTACATGCTCTCCTATGCTGTCATTTTTTTTGTAATTGTTGAAGCTATTTTGTTTTTGTAAGAGAAACGTTTTGGCGGCTGATAGAGGCTCGTGCCTTTGTAAAGACAGAATAATAAAGTTTGTACTTTTTTCTTTTTTTTTCCAAACGTGTATGTCTTGCTGCATTCTTTAAGTGCATTTTTTAAAATATGTCTGCTTACATTCCTGAAGTGCAAAACAAATTTCTGCAGCTTAACGGTCCCTGTTGAGCGTTGCAATGATTTAGTGCGATGGTGTACAAAAGAGCTCGATTCATTAGTCATAAAAATTGCATTTTAATTCCTGTACTTAGCTTTTTCTTGTGAAAGTGGAACATAATTACTGTTAAGGGAAAAAAGTGATTGAAGCTAACAAATCTCATAAAATCCAATCTTATTTTTATCATTTGCTTTTTTTCCCTAATTAAATACATTTTTTTTCCTGAAATTGCAAAATTGTGACTTTTCTTGAATTTAGTCATGCTTTAACTCTTTTGCCCATTTTGTTTCGCCATTACTACTCCCTCTTAGTTCTGTAAGAGGTACAGAATGTGCCATTAATTTGCGATTAATTATGAGTTAACAATGGATTTCATGCAGTTGGTTCCAAATAACAAGTGTCACTAGATTGACAACATTATTAAACACGCGTAGCAAAAATCTTGTGGTGCATGTTTCGAGGCCTGGAATGGATGTACGTCATTTTCAAATCACTTCAAAGGGGAAAATTGACTTGATGCAATTATCATTCAAATTGTAAAGCGCACTGCTTGTACCATTGTTTTTTTGGTAGTTAATAAAAACAAATGAACTAAATAAGACTAAGATTGAAAAAAACATTTTTATGAAAAAAATGAAAACAGAAATGCTTAAAACAAACACTAACTGAAACTAGCTTCTTTTTCAATGGCTTTATTTTGGTCTTGACGTACATTCATTAGCGTGTTGGCTTCACAGTCCACATGTGCGGGCTTTAATTGCAGCTCCAGTCTTCCTGTGTGGAGTTTGCATGTTTTCCCCATCCTAGTGTGGGTTTTCTCCGGGTACTCTGGTTTCCTCCCACATTCCAAAAACATGCATGGCAGGTCAATGGCACCCTATAAATTGTCCCTAGGTGCGAGGGTGAGCGCGGATGGTTGTTTGTCTCTGTGTGCCGTGCGATTGGCTGACAACCGGTTCAGGGTGTACCCCGCCTACTGCCGGAAGGTGGTTGGGATCGGCTCTTGTGAGGATAAGCGGATCAGAAAATGGATGGATAGACGTACAGTATATCCATACTGGATAAGGGAGTTCCAAACGTCCTTTGAGAATTGTACTTATTTACAGAATACTTGGTGACTTTTTTTTTTTATCTTGCACTTGACAAATACTTCATGTGCAATATTTAAAAAAAGAAAAACTAATACTAAAAGGAATAAAAAGTCAACTAAAACAGCTAATTAAAACAAGCTGGAATTTACTCCCTAAAGTCAAAATGAAATAAAAATGAACTGTCATAAAACAAAAAAATCCCAGCTTGCTTTGTACACGTACAGGCTCCCTTTTGGGATTGCAGTGACACTAACAACAGCAACAACACCACCACACACACACAGCTGCTGCCAGTCTCCAGGCCCCGCCCCTTCTGCCTGCCTGCCCTTTAACCTTCCCTCCTTGGTATATATAGTGCGTGCGGGACTATGAGAGGTCTCCTGGCCGCCACCATGAAGGGTAGCATCATCTCCGTCTGCTGCTTCGTCTCCCTGCTGCTTTTGCAGGCCACGGCAGGTAAGACCTCCTAACAGCACCCTTCTTCTTCTTGTCAATGCGCACACGTGGGTCATATGACTGCAATGTGATTGACAGTGTGCGCGTTCCATCTAGAAACTTCCACTGTGGCTCAGTTACAAGACAGCTTGGCGGCGGAATGCCACCATGAGGCGCTATTTAAACTCCGTGTAGATTTATGTATTTGCCGAGACTTCCGCTGCCATCCCCCTCCCCTGCTGTCATAATAGCGTCGAGGGGGATCGCAGCTACTTCTAGATGGTCTTTCTAACATTGGCGTGTCACACTTGCGCCCGCAGTCTCAAGCCATCCACACAGGGCCGTGCCCTTGTGCGTCACCCTTGCCCGTCCTTGGGATGGCGTTGAGCTTCCGAGCAGCCCATCGCCAGGGCCTTTTTATTCCAGGCGGCAGTCAGGTGTCTAAGATTGGAAGGCGTCCTGAAACCTAACACTGTAGTCCACTATAGTTCCTCCTCCCACCCTGGCCTCCCCATTGCTAGCCTTTAGAGACGCTGCACAGCTGCTGCCACTCTGCACTGTCACAATCACAATTTATTCCCAGCCGTTGGCCATATAGGGACATGCCTTCTCCCGGCAGGAGGGGCTACACTAGATGTGCATGCCCGCTCGGCCGCAGTGCCATACAGGTGTCTCGAGCCCACGCCCTCCACCTTATTCCCCCATTCGTGCTGCTTGCCTATACCAATGTCATACCATTGGGGAAAAGCATTCAAGGCTATCGTATAGCATCGCTTTGAAGAAGTCAAAAGAAGACTTGCTCGCATCGTCCTTCTAATTAGAGGCCACTCTCAGATGTGGGAACACTGTTTATATATATTTTGAAAACAAGCAAAAACAATTAAAAAATCATTTGGTATCAGACATACAATAAGATCATAAGTTTTAAGCCTTTCATGCACCCTGGAATCTAATAACATGATCGTTGAATTGAATTGAATACAACTTTATTGTCAAATGTGCTGTACGTATGTGTAACATACAGCACCAATGAAAATTCTTCCCTCTCAACATAAAACAAGAGGACATAAGCTGTCCACTGGAGTTACCGCTGTCCCTGAAAGGGTTAAATTGGTGTTTGGAAGAAAAAAAAATAAGTATTGGTGATTGCTACAGCAACTGCAAGACAATATTCACAAAAAGAACATCTTTATTTTTCTTAAATAAGATTTTTTTTTTAAAAAGCATTACGGAAATGCTCATATAAAAGCATCTGCCGCTGACTAAAGACTGATGTGTTTATGGTAAGCACTGGTTACTTGGATGACTTTTCCACTCCAACAAGATTCCTTGGCACTGTCCAAGATGTCATATAAATGCGGCTATTTGCTTGGATGAGGAGGTAGCATCGTGTCTTTTCCTTTCTTGTTCTGTTCACGGCATCGTCCTGCCCCTTTGATTAGCAGCACCGGCACCATTATGTAACCTCCATTGGAAAATTGATGTCTACCAAGGGTGGAAGTGGAAAATTAAAGGTGCTGAGCCTTCCATATGAGCCCCCCCCCCAAGTGGAATGTGGAATGAGCGGGAGATCCCTATGACGGCAGTCATGGAGTGAGGGCTTGCCGATCCAGATTTTCCTCCTTGCTCCTTGTCTTTTAGTTTCAGTCAAAAAAGTTTACTTAAGAGTGCAGGACGGTATAGCAACAAGTAGCTGCTTGTTGGATGGTGAACAATTCACCAGAAAAGAGGCCTCAAGGTCTTTCATTGTCGGTGCCAGTTGAAGTTTACTTTCTAAAACTAAACCTAAATCCATTGCACTGTAGGTGGGCTAACTCTGACTTTCTATTATTGTGGCTTTTTTTTTTCATTGTCCAGCTGTTAACTTTTTTTTTTTAGACTTATTAGTTCATGACTTTAATCATCACTTCATTGCACCTGACCGGAAATTAACACTTTTTTTGTGATAAATTAGCTTTGCACACAAAAAGTCAAAGAAAAGGGAAAACATAGTTGTAGAGATGATGCTTTAGATTCAAGATGTGACGACTGTACATCCACCCCATCACATCACTTGATGCAGCCCACTCTGGCAAATCGCGTTTCTTTGAAGTTCCTTGACAAACGGATTTCTTTTTAGTAAAAAATCTTGCTATTTTCATTCAATCCAAACAAATATTTCAAGCATGCATTTTCCCCAAATGCCTCTTAACATTAATTGGACAACATATTTGTACTTAAATATTTGCTAGCCATTTTTTCCATGACTCCTGAAAATACATACAGTAGACAACATTTCGAATGCAAGGCCATTTTGTGGTAATATAATGAGGTAATTCAACAATTTTTTCGAGGCTTGAACAGATTAATGACAGTTGCATTCATTTCAAGAGTGATAGATGATTTGAGTATGTCAAAGCACCACTGTACGTTCTTCCAGTGTCATATCAGTGACGTTTTTTGCGCCCCCTTGTGGCGAAGCCCTCGAACTTAATCGTCAAACTGCTCTCACGCTTCCTGTCACCGTTTCTCGAGCAGATGGACCTTTTTCAACGCTCAAGTTCATAAAAACACGTCCAAAGTCAAGCTAGTCAAAGGCTAGCTGCCATTCAAGCTAAGACCGCTAGCGGTGATGGCATCGCGCACAGCTTTTAAATGGCACTTTGACTCTCAGCTCTTTCGTTGCACCGCGTTTTAACACCACCAACGTTAAGACGCGCAAATAGAGGCTTAAAGACAAGCCACCCCCTCCCAAGGACAGCAATGGCGTCTTCTGATGTCAGATCAACACCTCGGCGGCGAGAGCCTTCGCCCTTTGTTACTTTGTGGGTGACGTAAGGCGCTCCATTAGGGCCAGTAGCATCGTTTCGTTGGAGAGGAAGTATTTCTGTGCACACGGAAGTAGAAGAAGTGGAATTAATATTGAGTGGATGTCTCCCTAGTTGTCCACACACAGAGAGTCCAAACTTAAAATAGGAAGCCCTCCACCTCCTCCGATGTGTCTGCCTCTTGACCCATTGTGAGGCTATTTCTGACCTACGGGGGAGTACCAGCTCCATAAGCAGGGCCACCTGTTACCGTCCGAGCGTGGCCTCTCCTCATCACGACACGTGGGAGCACACGTCTATACACGGCCCGCCGCCGTGCCACGTCGTTCTAAAAACATTCAGCTCGCAAAGGCCCACAATATTTAAAAGGGGCATATTCTGGGAAATGGGCTTTTTGATGTCTTGCGTGCAAATCGTTGGGTTTCTGGCGTGCCCGTCTACCCATCAAGAGTAAAAGTCCAATTATCTCTTTCCGAAAATGTGTCAGTCAACGATAATGGCTCTTGACGTGATCATCTAGGCCAGGGATGGGCAATTGGGGGCCACATGCGGCACACTCTGAGTGGCCCCTTGTTGAATTATTTTTAAATACACTGGTACCTCTACTTACGCAATTAATTGGTTCTGGAAGAAATTTCTTTACTAGAAAATTTTGTAAGTTCAGATGCATTTTCCATGTAAATGCCCTAATTCGTTCCAAGCCCCCAACAAACCCCCCCAAATTCAGACAAAGATGTTTCCTAAAGCATAAAAATGCATCAAAATATGTAACAAATATATGTTTACAATTAGATTATTGCAAAATAAATGAGAGTTGTGCAAAATGTAAAAAACAAAGAATAGAGTAAAGAATAAAAATGATGGTCATTGAAGTCTTAACTGTGTCCTCATCATTTTTTTGCCCTCTTTAGTCCACATTCAAGGCAAACATCAGCAGAGTGAGCGATCGCCCGACTGGTTAACACTTTTTCTGGGTGATTCACTTTTACGTAAAACTATCAACAACAACGCCTCGCGGACCGAGAGGCATAATGACGAGGACGCTGCATAGACACACATCTATCTACTCATATAGACTCGTAAGGTAGAGGTCCCTCTTAGCCAATGGGATGCCAGCAAGATGCTCGGTAATAGCCAATGGCAGAGCAGCTATAAGTATGTTGCGTTCAGGAAACTCGGAGCTGCGACTAGCAAGTCATCCTGTATTTTTACCTTTCGTATCTTGAAATTTCTTTCATAACAAGAGGCAATATTTTCCTGCTGAGACGTTTCATAACTTGAAAATTTCATATGAAGAGACATTCGTAAGTAGAGGTACCACTGTCTGTATTTTATCTCTTTGTTGTGTAGTGTCTCTGTTTTTTTTTTTTTTTTTAATTTTACAACCCACCTCTTCAAATCACTGATCAATATACAGTGTACTTTTTCCACGACAAACGGGATGAAATGGGTGAAACAATTCTACGGAAAAACAGGAACAAATCCCAAATCTGAAAACAGGCTGGCAGGAAAAAATGCTAATTCTCAGGCATGATTACACAGTAATTTTTAGTGGTGATATCAACACTCACCACTAGATGGAAGACATGTCTTAGTTGTGCAACACCTGCCCCTCTCAGGGCAGTTGTTGCAGATTTGCAACAACTAAGTATCAGATTTTGCCTGTTACGAGAACTTAATTTGAGCCTCAGAGGGATTTTTTACTGCCTTATACTGCGATGTGGTTAGGCCACATAATTTTTTGCAGATTTGGAATGAGATGCAGGACAACCATAATACCTCAATAATAATAACATTTTTAGAGTTAATTTGGGTGAAATAATGTACAAAATGAGTTCTTCAACTTATTGTTGGTTTCTTGTTGAGCAGTTTTGTGCTGTTCTTGAATGGTATCGTTTTTAGGCAAGAGAGCCCTTTTCGCTGAAAAAAAAATATACAAATGTGTTAATTACATTCTTGTTTTCTTCAATCCATGTGTTGTTGGGTTAGGATAGTGGCTTGCAACACCTGCCCCTCTCAGGGCAGTTGTTGCAGATTTGCAACAACTAAGTATCAGATTTTGCCTGTTACGAGAACTTAATTTGAGCCTCAGAGGGATTTTTTACTGCCTTATACTGCGATGTCGTTAGGCCACATAATTTTTTGCAGATTTGGAATGAGATGCAGGACAACCATAGTACCTCAATAATAATAACATTTTTAGAGTTAATTTGG